GGCTGGGGATTCAAACCCGCCACCTTAGGTGTACGTGGCTGGCGCCTTAGCCGGTTGAGCTATAGGCGCCGAGCCAGGCCTTAATTCTTAATGTTTCAGTTCCTTTATCTTTACAACAAGAACTAACAACTATAACTACTTCATAGCGTTGTCTGAAGATTAAATGAGTTAATATATACCAAGTGGCTGTAACAGTGCCTGGCCTGAGTAAGTTCTACACTAATGTTTACCATTGTTATCATCATTACTCTCAGAAATCTCCTTGAGAGATAGGTTAAGTTACTCCCATTTTGTAGATGAGGAAGCTGAAGCACAGCTAGGTCAGAGGTAGCAAAATGGAGTTTGGACTCAGGTCTGCTTGACTCCAAAGCTTTCGACGAAAAGTCCTTCCTGTAAGGTTTTCATAGGGTAGAATAGAAAAACGGCAACATTCCCTCTTCTAACCAATTCTTACAGAGCCATGAGCCTGAGAGCTGCTTGCTCATCCCTAGGGATGGCAACACAGAAGCACTCTTCTGTCCTTCAAAGTGAGGACTTGTTCAACCACAGTTCTAGTGATCACCTGCCGATTGGCTGGGCTAAAGCCATGGCAGCAGGAATATCAATATAGCTGATGGCCTGGTCAGGAGAGAGAAGCTATAGGGAGTCACACTGGGGACAATGCCACCTGACTCCCCCTTTTTCCCCCTGAGACAGAGTCTCACTCTGCATAGGCTAGAGTGCCATGGCATCAGCCTAACTCACAGCAACTTCAAGTTTCTGGAAAACTTGAAGAGTGCCTCCTGCCTCAGCCTCCCAAGTAACTGGGACTACAAGCACTGCCACAATGCCTGGCTAGTTTTTCTATTTTTAGTAGAGACAGGGTCTTATTCTTGCTTAGGGTGGTCTTGACCTCTTGAGCTCAAGTGAACCTCCCACCTTGGCCTCCCAGAGTGCTAGGATTACAGGAGTGAACCATTATACCTGGCCATCTGACTCCCTTTATTTCTACCAAATTCCTACAGGATGAGGCTCTATGCCCAGAATTCATGTCTTTCTACATGGAGTCCACAGGGATGGAGGGTTCTCCAGATAAGGTCAAATGTGAAGAGGCCTAGTCCTTCAGCTCCTGAACCAATGTTGTACCTTTACTTATATAGAATACCAGGTTACCTTCTGCTCATCCGGAACAAAGACCTTCTTGGCCTTTTTGATCATGGGCTGGGGCTTCAGGTCCTCCTCTGCAAACTTGTGCTTCCTAGGGTTGAAAAGCTCTCCACCTGGCACACTGGAGAGAACCAGGTCAGCAGGGTCAGGATTGAAGTTCACATCCACCTCCACACAGTTGGGATCAATGGGACTGGGAGTCTCCCTCTCTTTTTCCAGGGAAGATTCTGAAAGACATGGAGGCAGGTGATCCTAAAGAAGCCCACTGCACAAAGACCACATCACAAAATAAGATACCTTCCTGAATCTCAAGGTTGCACAAACACTGTCACTCAGCAGGAAGAAAACCACAACAGCATCTGCCCCAGGCCAGACTGGCATTCAAGGTTCAATTCAACAATGCAAGCATGGAAAGAATTCCCTTTAGGAATAGAATGCTCAAAAGGAAAACAGTAGCCCTTGAAAGATTTTCCAGGGCAGTGCCTGTGGCTCAGTGAGTAGGGTGCTGGCCCCATATACTAAGGGTGGCGGGTTCAAACCCGGCCCTAGCCAAACTGCAACGAAAAAATAGCCGGGCGTTGTGGTGGATGCTTGTAGTCCCAGCTACTCCGGAGGCTGAGGCAAGAGAATCACCCACGCCCAAGTGCTGGAGGTTCCTGTGAGCTGTGATGCCACAGCACTCTATTGAGGGCGACAAAGTGAAACTCTGTCTTTATTTTTTTTTATTTATTTATTTTTTGAGACGGAGCCTCAAGCTATGCCCCTGGGTAGAGTGCCATGGCATCACGCTCACAGTAACCTCCAACTCCTGGGCTCAAGCGAGTCTCCTGCCTCAGCCTCCCAAGTAGCTGGGACT